AATAATAATAATGCATAACTAATAATAATTAATAATAATAATACTGTCATGTGTGCTGGAAATAATAATAATAATAATAATAATAATAATAATAATGCCATGCATGCTGGAAATAATAATAGTAATAATGATAATGATAATGGTATTCCTGCTGCAAATCTCAAGGTGTATCTACACTGTAAAAATAATCCAGTTTGGCACCGCTCTCAACTGCCATGCCTCCATCCTACAGAGTCCTGGGATTTGTAGTTTGGGGAGAATGGTCTTGGGGTGCCTCTACACTGTAGAAACAATCCCGTTTGACACCGCTTTTAACTGCCAGGGTGGCACCATCCTCCTACAGAGCCCTGGGATTTGCAGTTTTGCAAAGTCATTTAGCTGCCTTTTCATGTCAGGGAAACACTGAATTTTACGTGTAGATTGTTCCAAGAGATGTAACATTTTATTAATCCTTAATTCTTAAGGGACGGGTGGGATTTGGGATTTTTATGTTCTGTTGAAATTGTATTGATATATCTGTATGGAAATTTTGATGTTGTAAGCCGCCCCGATTGCTCTGCAGAGGGGCGGGATATAAATAAATATTATTATTATTATTATTATTATTATTATTATTATTATTATTATTATTATTATTATTATTATTATCCTTTTAAATTGATGTGTTTTAAACCGATGTCGTTTGTCTGTTAATTGTGGTCATCCCTCGCTTCGATCCATATGGGGAGAGGCGGGTAAGAAATAAATTATTATTATTATTACTATTTTAAAAAGTTTGTTTGCTTGTTTTAATATGATTGTTGTTGTTGTTGTTGTTATTGTTGTGTGCCTCCCAAATCATTTTTGACTTATGCGAACCCTAAGGCAAACTTTTCTTGGCAAGTTTCTTCAGAGGGGCTTTTCCCATTGTCTTCATCCAAGGCTGAGAGAGAGTGACTTGCCCAAGGTCACCCAGCGGGGATTCGAACTCCAGAGTAGTCCAACACTCAAACTACAGTGATACCTCCACATTCGCTTAAGGGCACAGGACCCCTACGAATGTGGAAAAACCACAAATAATCAGAGAGAACACCTCTCTAGGAATCTCTTGGTCCTCCAGTGCAACTCTGTGGTCAACAAATGCCAAACATTGACCATAGAATTGTGCCGGAGGAGCTACAAATGCCTAGAGAAGTGTTCTTTCTAGGAATCTCTGGGTCCTTCAGTGCGACTTTTGGTTAAAGTTGACCACAGAGTTGCGCCGGAGGACCTAAATATTCCTAGAGAGAACATATTAATAAAATCTGTGAATAATCACATCCGCAAAAGTCAAAGCTGCAGATGTGGAGGGATGACTGCACTACACCACACTGGCTCTCTTTCAATATGATACTGGAGTGTTAAAATCTGAAATACGATTTTTCTAGAAGAGTGGGTTCCTATATCACTGGACCTTATCCCATTATCTACTTTGCACTCTTCTACAGCAGTCCCTCCACATTCGCTGGGGTTAGGGGTGAAGGACCCCCGCGAATGTGGAAAAACCGCAAATAAAAGAACGCTATTCTTTTCACCTAAGAGAATGCCTCTTTAGCAATCTCCAGGTCCTCCAGTCCAACTTTGTGGTCAACATCTGTCAGAATTTGACCATAGAAATCTTGCTGGAGGATCTACAAATGCCTAGAGAAGTGTTTTCTCTTGGAACTTATAGATTCTCCAGCACAACTCTATGGTCAACTTCTGGCGACAGAGTTGCGCTGGAGGACTTGGAGGTTCCTAGAGAGAACATATTAAAAGCAAAGCAGCTTCATTTATATACCGCTTCATACCACGCTATGGGGTGTCTAAGCGGTTTACAACTGTAAGCTCATTGCCCCCCAACAGTTGGGTACTCATGAATCGCAACCGCAAATAATCACATCCGCAAAAGGCAAAGCTGTAAACATGGAGAGCCAAATGTAACCCTCGCACTCACCCCCTCGTAACCTATAGTAAACTAATTGGCTGATCATTCCAATTTTAATGCTTGCAAGCCTTACATTTCCTAGCAAGGACTGTCAAGGGTCCTTGGTTGTGTCATACCAATGTGGGAAAGATGCTGACAGACCTTGACATCCGCTCTATCATAGATCCCCCCCTCTGGAGACGAAACTGGTAATGGATTTCAGACCAGCTGTAAAATCCAGATGGCCTCCAGATATTTCTGTCCACCTTGTCTCTTTTTACTTTACTTCTCACATTCTTTGTCACCGATCAAGCGATGCCCCATTTCCCATCCAATGGCTTTCTCATTAGAAAAGAAAGGTAGCATTTCCTCAGAATGGCCAGATTGCCGTGCAAAAAACACATTCACATTCGCACACACACACACACACACACACAGCTCTTTTGCAGAGCAAAGTTTGCAAAAGTGCCTACATCTTGCAAAGTGGAAGCAAAAGTCAAGTTTTCGGCACCATCCGCACTCTGATGCTGTTGTCATTGTTGTGCCTTCCCAATTGTTTCCAACTTATGGCGACCCTAAGGCGAAACTATCAATGGGGTTTTCTTTGCAAGATTTGTTCAGATGGGGTTTGCCATGGCCATCCTCTGTGACTTGCCCAAGGCCACCCAATGACTGAGCTGGGATTCGAACCCTGGTCTCCAGAGTATTAACCCAATGCTCAAACCACTAAGCCACACTGGCTCTTTAGCACTGGTAGACATCAGCAATACCATGATGTCCTCTGTTGGCTTCAAAGAAAAGTGGGCAACTATGCCAGGGCTAGAGGACCAGTATTTGCTCCATCTTTGCAGATCCTCCAGCAAGAAATGATAGCACTCAGTGTCACTTCTGGTTCTGGCTCATTTGGGGGATTGGGGAGCATGATGGAAGCCCAAGGAGCTAGGATCAGTTAGAGCAGGATCCTGTTTCCTAAGTCATGCTTTGTTGCATTGTTTAGCTGTAGACATCCTCAAAAAGGATTTTGAGAAGCTGGACCATCTCCAGAGGAGGGCAACCAAAGTGGTAAAGGGACTAGAAACCATAAAGCCCTATGAGGAGAGACTTACGGAGCTGGGTATGTTTAGCATGCAGAAGAGACCGTCAAGAGGTGACATGATGGCCCTGTTTAAGTATTTGAAGGGATGTCATGGAGGAGGGAGCTAGCTTGTTTTCTGATGCTCCAGAGAATAGGATCCAAAGCAAGGGATGCAAGCTACAGGAAAAGAGATTCCACCTCAACATTAGGAAGAACTTCCTGACAGCAAATACTGTTCAACAGTGGAACACATTCCCTCAGAGAGCGGTGGAGTCTCCTTCTTTGGAGGTCTTTAAACAGAGGTGGGATGGCCATCTGTCAGGGATGCTTTGATTGTGAATTCCTGCATGGCAGAAGGGGGGTTGGACTGAATGGCCCTTAAGGTCTCTTCCAACCCTATGATTCTATGTTTCTGCAACCCCACACCAAAAGCTTGTTTCTGCAGCCCTTATTCACCATCTTTCCAGTGCTGATGCTGCTTAAAAATTTCCAGTTAGGCAGAGGATGCAGGAAAATGTGGGAACTGGGCTAGCACAAGATGCCTTTATAAAAAAATATTTTTTCAAATATAAGAGACTTTATTAACTGAGGTATGCCTGTACATTGATATCACTAGTCATATTAATATAATATATTTCTGCATCTGAGGAAGGCAAATGCATCTGAGGAAGTAGACTGAAGTCTAGGAAAGCTCAGGCTGCCAACATTTCTTTCAGTTAGTCTCAAAGCTGCTACAAGATCTCTCTACATCATATATTTCATTTAGTCTCAAAGGTTCTGCAAGATCCCTTTGCATACTATACTGATTTTTCAGACTAACACGGCTCCTATCTCTTTGAATACTAATATTTCTGTTTCTCTAGTGCCATACATGGCTAATAATTTCTTTCTGCCTTTCTCACAAACTGCCAAATAGCTCTGTCCCCAATCTTAACCTGCACAAACGTAATTACAAATATGAATATGGTTAAGAAGCACCAATTTATCTTAATTCGGACCAAGGAATATTGCCAGGTGGCCTTTTGCGCAGATTTCCCTTTGACGCTTTCTTCCTCCTTAGCCATGCCACGGAAAAGTCTGCAAACGAAGTTGCTGCAAAATACACACATCACAGAGCCATTCATGTGTGGAAGCGAAGTTTCCTGGGACTGATGAGGGCAAACATATGTCACTGATGTGTCTTTGGGCTGCAAAGCATGGAAAGCAAGAGAGCGGGAAGGTTGCAGCATCTCTTTCTGACTCCAGGTGGAGAAAGAGACCAAAGATAGAAAGGAGAAACTAACAAAAGTATTGAGATATGGTATGTTAACTAAATACAATATATCCCAAACAAATGAAACCACCACTTAAACATGATAATTAAATTTTGCAATGACACCATGTAGCTTATTATTATTATTATTATTATTATTATTATTATTATTATTATTAGCTAACAGTGAAAACCTTCAAATACTCATAGAAAATGCTAGGTAAAACAGAGTTTCTCATTTGAAGTCCAATTGTTATCCCAAGTCAACCCGGCCTCTGTAGTTGTCAATGGAGGCTGATGGAATAAATTTCACAGATGGTAAGTCATGTCTTTAGTCTTCACAGTCAGGTTGTTATATCAATGATGAGTAACAAGCAAGCGGAAATCTTTCTGGTAGCAAGACGACATCCTCCGGAGGTTTTATACAACCACTTTGGTGTATATGAATCTTCTTCAGTTGTCATGGATTATATATCCCAGCTCACAATAAACTCCAGAATTCAGAATTCAGGATGCTGTTTTTAACAATCCATCCCAACGTTCTAAATATGTAAAAATAACAACATGAGATACCCCTCATCTTTCACAAAAAGAAAATATTTACCATTTCTTAACATTAAAAGCTTACCTCTCTTCTGGAACAAACTACAGTCGTCCCTTCCAATTTGCGGGGGAATCCGTTCCAGGCACACACACACAAACTGACTGCATAGAAGAAGAATCATTTGAAAAAACAAATACAGACTGGGAATTAATAATGAAGCTTTGTAAGAAAAGATGGTCATAAAGTCAAAATCCTGTATCACACTATATTAACGAAAACAAAGTCCCGAAACAGCTTAAAATAATCATGAAGCTTTATTTCATGCTGAATTTGCAAAGATAATCGTACAATTATAGGAAGATGTCAGATTTCTTCTTTTTATCACTTTACTAAGCCAGTAGAAAATTGGAAGTAACAAAAATGTAATTAACATACAGAAGATACAATGTAAATCAAAATAAGTAATGATGTGGAAATATCATGATTTCGTGTTGTTGTTAGCTGCCCTTGAGTCGGTTCCAACTCATGGCAAAACTTTGGGTGGGACATCTCCATGAATCCCTGTCTTCCTCTGCAGTCTTGCCCAGATCCTGCAAGCCCTTGAC